GGCTCTCGATGTGCCCAGACGAAACTTGCGCAGCTTCTCCTTAGTCTCGGGCGAGAACGAATATAGTCGTGAATCAGACTACTAAAGTTAGCATCTAATGGGGGAAACTTTCGCCTGGCCGACCTGGTGCCCTGGTGCGGGGAGACATCTCACCATTTTGGACGTCAACTGTGGGACACGCAGAGAAGTCAAGTAAACGAAAGTCCTGAACCTAGCGCTAATAATGCACTGTATAAAGATGATACCGGTATGTCCGACCTGAAAAAGGAGAAGACTGTAGGAATGTGAGGCGAGACGATGGAAATGCGGGCGGAGTTTCCCTGTTCCCCCACCTCAATCCCTCCACGCTTTGAACAATCTAGACATTACTCCTCCACCTACATCTTCATGCTCAACCGATTGAATCTACTGACGCGGCACTTATCACGCCCATTCAGTCCCTCTCGTCCTATAAGCCCCTCCTTCTCAGCCCCTTCCCTGGCCGCTCGCTCAGGTCTGTCCGCGATGACATCAGCCGTGCACCCGAAGCTCATCCACACGGCAGCATGCCTCATTATCGGCGATGAGGTTCTCGGCGGAAAGGTAGTTTGAGATATCGATAGGCTCCCCGTGAACAGAACAGATATTCTGACATTATCGACTTTTAGACCGTTGACACCAACTCGGCATTCCTAGCCAAGTTCTGCTTCTCGCTCGGCATCGATCTGAAGCGAATCGAGGTTATCCCCGATGATGAAGATGACATAGTCGAAGCTGTACGACGCATGAGCTCCCGCTATGACTTCGTCGTGACCAGCGGCGGAATTGGGCCCACGTGTGTCCAACCCCGTCCCTAGTTTCCCCGAGCGATGCCGACAGCACGCAAGCAACGCAGCGCTTCATACAAAGCCTAGCTAACACATATCCCCCATTTACAGACATGACGACATCACATACTCCTCAATCGCCAAGGCATTCGACCTGAAGCTGGAATTGCACCAGGCGGCCTTCGAGCGCATGAAGCGCCTCTCCAAGCCCCACCCCTTGCAACTGAACTTCGACTGGGAGACACCATCGCCAGGACTGACCGCCAAGCTGCGCATGGTCGAGCTGCCCTTCGACCCGAAGATCCCCACTGAGTCACAGGCCGTGTTCGTCGCCGATGACCTGTGGGTGCCGATCGCGGTGGTGAACGGCAACGTGCACATCCTGCCCGGCGTGCCGCGGCTCTTCGAGCGTCTGCTCCTGAGCTTGAAGCCCTCTCTGATCCCCCGTTTGACTGACCCGGAAGGCAAGGGGACGTTCCGCTTGTTGTTCAGCACGCCGTTGCCTGAGAGTGCGGTGGCGCCATACCTGACTGAGTTGGCGGCTAGGGTTAAGGCTCGGGGGATCAAGGTTGGCAGTTATCCGCGTTGGGGTAAAAAGCGCAATACTGTTACTTTGGTCGGGGCGGATAAGGCTTACATGGATTCCTTGGCCAGTGAGGTTGCTGAGAATGTGCAGGGTACGCTGGTTGCCACGGAGGATGAGCTGGATTGTCCGTCCGACGAGGACCGTGTTTATAGCCAGTAGATTATTTATTACATAGTTGTCTGGATTGACTGCGACTTGACATACATGCAGCACATAGAGCATACCAATTATATTTCAGTGTCAAACATGTCTATATTGACCAGGTTAGATTATCGAACCTTAATATATCAAAGCAGTAGTCGTAGGAACTAGACCATAGATTGCGATCGAGGATAGGCGGTATATCATACGCAGATAATTCGAGAGTAGATAGAACAATCTAGATACTAGGACAACCTCAAAAACAAAGGTACAGGCCGCAATGATGGAACGCAAGGCATCCACCTTGCTATGAAAGAACATATATTGACAGCCGTGTCGCCTCACGAGAGCGACAAGGATAATGATAATAAGAGGCGATAGATAACAAACACCAGGGATCTTTCGCAAAGACTTCAACAGTAAAAAGACAATAAATAGGGATTAAAACATCGCAATCGGACAACAAAAGGGGAATCAAAAATGTTTCGTGAGACGAGGTTGGGCGTCAAGGTCGGCAGTCATCAAGAATGAGAGTCCATTGAAGAACCCACAAACATCCGTAACACAAACGACAATGCCACTTCTTCTTTGGTAATTTTTTTCTGGTTTGGTTTGTTTTCTGTTCGAGGTTGCAAGCTTTCGTTTTGCAGTCTCTGTATTGTTTCCCATTTAGATCTGAGTGGCGGGTTATTGCAGATTAAGGCCATCCAAAGGTAAACAAGATATCCAACTTTTCCAAGGGCAGGTGGGTGTTCACCACACGCTCGGACATATAAATCCACCCCCGTAACTCTTCCCGACATTGTATGCTGCGTATTTCGGATTCGGGGGTTGTTTCGAGATCTGCCGGCATCGCAACGATTCGGATCATTTTGGTAGGTTGTTGTTTTTTTACATGATGACGCAACTCGCGCAGCAACCAGCGCTCTCACCCGGCTCGGCCACGTCCATCTTGCCCTCGGGTGCGCGGGCGCCGAACGCGCCGGAGCCGGAGGGGTACGAGGACATTTCCTTGTTGTAGCGACGGATCTCGCGGACGAGGTCGTAGAAGGCGTTCTCGACGTTGATACGGGACTTGGCGGAGGTTTCGATGAACTTGCAGCCGAACTGACGGGCGAGCGCTTCGCCCTCTGTACGCGGTGAGGGTTAGCCACGGGGTTCGGATTTAGGCTTCGAGAGAGTTCAAGCGGAGAGTTTGGGGAATGGAAACATACCTGCCTCGGAGACTACACGCTCCTTTTCCAAATCACACTTGTTGGCAACAACAATGATGGGGAAGTAATCCTTGTCCTTGACGCGCAGGATTTGCTGTTGGAAGGTCATGATTTCTTCGAAGGATTGGCGTGATGTAATGGAGTAGATGAGCAGGAATCCCTCGCCGGTTCGCATGTATTGTTCCCGCATAGCCGAGTATTCCTCCTGGCCTGCTGTATCCAGGACATCCAACAAAGCGACTTCATCATCGATCACACACTGCTTGCGGTAGGAATCTGTAGGCGGAAGAAGGTTCCGAATTAGCCATGCTGTTCAACCAGGGCCCGGCACCGCTGGGAAAAAGCGATAGGGTCCGCGCGGTTGATGAAATGGGTTGAGGGGGGACGTCGAAGTGCTTACCTTCAATTGTTGGATCGTACTCGTCCACGAAGTGGCTCTGGATCAGCTGGATGGTCAAACAGGACTTGCCGACACCACCACCGCCGACAACGACCAGCTTGTATTCTCTTAGGAACTGTTGGAGACGGGGTTAGCCATTTGGATGACCAAAACAAGTGAGATCCGGCACATTGGATCACCATCTCACCTTTGAAGCCATTATGAGTTAGTCTCAGGGAAGATGAAACAGAAAAGAGATATTAAGCCGATCAGAAAGGAATCGGACAATTTAAAGCGAAATCCACCTGGGTCGTTTAAGAAAAAGAAAAAACAAAAGGAGAATTAGGGGGAGAGTTCGGAGGTTGGAACTGGCGGGAAGAAATAAATGGAGAAAACCAGCGAGCTTCCAAGATTTGGCGAATTCGTTCAAATCCGTCTGGGGTAAACAAAAGGATTTAAAATCAAACACAAAGAGATCTTGTTCCCTTTTTTTCTTCTAGAGAAGACAGAATCGAAAGAAGAAGGGAAAGAAGGGGCGAAGGGAAATTCAGGAGATAGTGGGGAGGAAACGGTGATTGGGCCAGGAAAAGGGGACATGCGCGCCATTGAATGATAGATTGCTTTTATATTTACTATTGTTCCTACGGTGGTTTCTTTTGGTTCTTCAGCTCTGCTTCGATTCATCTATATAACACAAGTAGCACTGTGGTCGCCTTATCTCCAACTTCTCCTTTCTCCTTCCTCCTTCCTCCTTCATTCCGATATACGTTGGTACACTAAATTGTATCTCGACCAGGGCATTGATTGGCTTAAGCCACGGACCCATTGAGGAACGTGCAATTCTAATATAGAGCGGAGATGATATTGCTCCTTTTTACTTGCATCTTCATCAAGTCCGCAATTACCGGCCTCTGTTTTGTCTACTCCGTACTGGTTCCAACACATCTACAACATACCATCGCCAGATCAAGTCAGTTCCTCCAGAGTGGATCTGCCGTCCCGAGATGGGTCCTCTTTGGCGCCTTTAGGGATTGGCCTACAATGTCCACCCTCTACTCCATATTGGCTGGTTAGAGATAACACGAAGCCATCATCCAGATAGCAATTCAAGGTTGGGATAGTTGGGCACCAAACCGTCTGGATGGTTTGCTCGACACCGCATATTCATCTTGGCTTTCTTATACGCCTGGATGGCTTGCAGTAGACGCCCGCCTTGCATAATTGCATCATCCCGCCGCAACACAGTCACCTCTGTCACTTTTGGTGATTGGATCCATCCAAAAAATTCTTATTCTCGTCGCGGTTCCACTTTTAGAATCCCCATCGTACGAATCATCGGAACGTTTGATGCCGACAACTGGGTTTTCCCCGATCGCCGTATGCCTTACGAAGATCCAAGTCATGCCCGTTTTCTGACAGATGCCACAGCTGCATATTGGACGTCCACCATAGTCCACACTTCTTTCATTCGGTGTTCTCTGCTTATAAAATGCTTAGACTAGCGTTGACAGGCGGAACCCCGCGATTTAAGACTTGGATCTGGCCCCGGAGTATGTGCAGTGTTACATTTGGGCACCTCGAGCTAGGTAATGTCTATAACAAGCTTCACCTATACTTTCACACTCTTTGACTTTTTACCGATCATAGAATCCTTGAAATGATGTCAAAGCGAATGAAAATAAAAAGAAAAAGAACAAGTACGCGCTCGGTCCACGGTTCTTCCCCGGGGGCCATGCCCGTCTTGACCTAGACAGGACTCTGTTGGTTTCTTTTCCACGGATGACTGGAACTCAATTCCTTGTCGGCTCAAATATTTGTCTCAATCTTAGAAGGTGAGACTTGATAATCAATAAGGCTGCATTCTTTGATTCGCAATGTGGGCTGATCCTGACATGACCCGTCAAATGGACGCACGGTCTGTGATGGATCATGGCTCGGGTGATCATGCAACTGTCAGCATCCGGGAAGTAGTGCGACTGTGCTTCGAAGCAGCGCTTATGAAGAACTACCATGGGACGATGGCGAGAAGACCGAAAATGAGCCGCACAAAGCAATATGATAGAAAATGCAATTGGTAGACATTATCCAATATCTACTGACAAATCTACTTGCCAAGTCACACAGACGTGATACATACCTAGAACCAACATAACCTAGGCTTGCATGATGCGGAGCGATCACACCTGTCATGCCAACGGCCAAGTGCAATTTGAAATCGAGGCGTACCATCCACATAGAATGCTTTATACAGATATCAACCAGGTCCATAAATGTAAACTCGAAATTGCAGGCCTAGGAGATAAAGACGAACCGGACAGATACCCCGGGATCACAGCTAAGAAAAAGACCGAATCACACTCGACCTAACTTGGGACCGAAGGCATCACCAATCGCGCTCGACGTGCAACAGGGTATGGGGGCACAAGTGCCTGGGCACATGAGCAAAGATAATAAACACAACGTGTCCAATCTGTAGATTTAAGTACCTGACCCTGAAGAAATCACCGTAACAATCTGTCTAGAGAACGAGCGCGACCCAATCCGTGCCCTACTCAACGCTCAAGGAGACTAAACAAACTGACAACAAGCCAAACGCCGAATATCCCAAACTCCATCCAATCATCTCCAATGTCTCTTGCAGATCTCCACGTCGGCGGACTGTATGTCATTCTCCAAGCCCATCATGAACCACCCGAGCCCAATGATTTCTACTGGGGTCTATACCTCCACTCAGACCCCGTGGGAGGGATGGCATACCACGTCATAGACACAGGATCCGGCCTGAGACCGGAGCACGAGTATACTGGTAGAATATTCGACACGCCGCGTCTGACGGGACTGTTCCGAATCGCCGACATCACTCGTCCCTTACATCCATTTGTCGACAGGGTAATAAGGTCCTACGACAGCAGCCTCAACTGTCCCGGAAGAAGCAGCAACAGCAAGTTCTGGGTTTTGAATGTTCTTGCGCTACTGATCCAGCCTACGGCCGCCGGATGGCTTCCAGTGAATTGCCATAACCTGCCGATCTTGGAGCAGGAAATTCGCGATTGGGGGAATCGCATGTCCCAAGGGCGATGTATTTATCAAAGACTAAAGCCAATTGGATCTTCGACGATCTGCGGGTTGCCGGAATGGAAGATATAGTTAGCGTGAGTTGACCATTTCTCTCGGTAATTCTAGTGCGGGGGAAACATCGATTGACGCAAAAGCAATGGGATGAATAGCCGAATACCCTATCTATTTGACCAGGTCCAATCATCTGACTATGTTTTGTTGTTTCGGGCGCTAATTGGGGTGTATTATTTCGTGTTATCGAATCGAGCGATTACTTGCATATTCTACCTGTCATTTTTCTGAACCTAGGTTATTAAATTCCAAAGCTAAAGCATACTACATTGACTAATAGTAGTCTGCTCTCTATCAATACTACAGTTGCTTCCATAATCTCCCTTGGCAGCTCAAGTCTCATCCAAAGTAGAAACTGGTCAGGTGCCTGTGTGAGAAGTATCTCCTCACCCGTAACAGTGTCCCACCCCTGGTTCTGCTGTGCTGCCGTCGAGAGCGGCGTCTTCCTCGGCTTGTACGACATCTCGATACACAAACCCTGATCTTCAAACAACGAGAACTGATCCTCGGTAGTCGTATCATCGGGTGCCAGATTGAGGAGCAGTGGCGTTTGCGGGCTGGGGGGAATATATCCTGAAACTGGACCGGGAGGGTGCATGGATGTCTCGAGACAGCCGAATAGAACAAGGGAACTAACTTACTAACTTCTAGTTACTGGAAATGAATACTACAGACATGGAGGATCATGAGACCAAAAGAACCGGCTTTCTCCAAAGATTTTGCCCATTAAATGTTTGGTCATCGTCGGCATGCTAAAACCGTTTGTGGGGAGAAGCATAATTTATTGTACCGACTTGCTAAGGAGTATTATATGGAAAATAAATTGATGTATGCAAGGATGATATGCTAGCAAATATATCTTATGAATAACATGCATATTGTGGTCGCAACTCTGCTTCACAAACTTCAATTGAGCTGAAGCATCTGCTGTAGCTTCTTCCAAGACGCGATACCCCTCTGGGCATGCTGATCGGGTACATTTTGACCCTCTTCAGCCATCGTTCTCGAAAACAACTCCATCGAGATCCATCCCTTGTATCCCAATCCCGACGTAATAGTTCTTGCAACATCTTCCACAGGCAGATATACTCCGCGGTCCTCCTCGTACATGTATGCTCTCGCATTCCGCGACCAGTTCATCCGCGCCGGCTGACCTTCCACGTAGAACGGATGACCCGGGACCAGTGGCGATTGCAACCTCTCTGCATCCACAACCTGAAGATAAAAGACCTTCGCAACATCGACCTCGGCCACCATTCGCTCGAGCGACTCCTTCAAATCCGAATCCGCATTGACCGTCTTGCCGGTTGGCGAGGTGGGGTCGGCCCACACCCTCCCCGCGATGTTGAAGGTGTCAAGACACATGCCGAAATTAGGCCGGTCAACTCGCTTAACCACATCCCAGACTTTCTCCCAGGTGTCATTGACCGTGCTCCAGCAGAGATTCTCATACGCATAGCGAATAACGGGATTTTCGGCGGCGCCCATATCCGCCAGTTGCCACAGATCGGCCACTATAACATCAATGTCGTCCGTGAGTTGCTCTGCCGGGAGGAAGTTGGCGGGGATTTGGATGGTGGTGGTGTCCAAGCGTTTGGCGAGCTGCAGCCATAGTTTCATCTTCTCAATCAGCTTTGCATGCTGCTCTCGGTCTTTGAGTCCCTCGTAGAAGAGGAACGGCTGCAGCGTGATAATCTCGAGGGAGTGGGCTTGACAGATTGAGTGGATCTTATCTGCTGCTTGGAGCAGTTGATCGGATGTTGGGGTGTCATTCCCGGAGATCCCTCGTGCGAAATAATCGAGGTCTTCGTAGAAAAGCTCTATTCCTTTGAAACCTGCTTTTGAAGCTTGGCCCATCTTACATTCAAAATCATGGAGCCAAGGTCGTCCCAAGGAGACACTCATAATAGCAGGTTGACAGGCCATGGTGTCTCTATATGGGTATTAAATTTGACAATGACTTAGGGGTAATGAGATTATTCCTGTGAACGATGTTGATGCTACGCGGAGTCCACGGGTTGTGGGGAAGAAGGTCTTGCCGTTGTAGGTTCAGATCTTCGCCGTACTTACAGAGGAAGATTCTACGATTGGGTCTAATGAGATATTTCTGCATTTGAATGTTGGTGTGGATGACTTGAAAAGTCTCGGCCGTGGTGCTTTTCTCGTCTTAAAAAATCATTACTTTACCTAAAGAGGAGGAAGTCGCCCGTTGAGGTTCAGTTAAATCAACACCGATCACGTGACCCGAACGACGTCGGCTTGGATGACCATGAAAGCTCGAGGACCGATGGCTTTTATTTATTTTAGAGCACATATGCCCATTATTCGACCTTCAAGTGATAAAGAGTTTGCGGGGCATGTGGTCAATGTCGTTGGCGAAAGTCCAAGTGTGAGGGAACGGCCCGCTTGAATCACATCGGAGCACTCGGAAACACACTACTCAAAGGATATAGACTTTGGTCGGTGAACAGAAAGCTAGGTAGGCATTAAATAACCGAGGGGAATTCTCAAAACGAGATCAGTTAGATGATGGCCTATCAACATAATGTTAATTTGTTTCATCTCGACTAAGAAGCAAAACTCGATATTATAAAAAGTGAAAATGTACTGCGAAAAAGAAATCCAAGGCTTCTCGTCAAGATCTCATGCCAAAGACGAAACAATCGAAAGCCAACCCAGGCCAGCCGATGCTGCTTCGATCCCCTTAGTATCCTTTTGCGGGGGATAGGTGGCGCGAGCCAACCTCGACAACTGGACCGCGAGCAAATGCTCTCTGAAATACATATCCAAGCCACCGACCATGTGAATGCTGTGATCAGCACCGTTCCCTCCCTTCTTCTCTCCCCAGCACAGCCTGGGGCCAACAATTTCATCTTCCATCTTGCCGGTCCTACTTCCACTTTTAGCCCACACCCGCTTCGTCTCATACAAAGTCTCCCAGGCGATGCCAAAGCTCCCAAACATCCCACCTTCCTTCTTACCCTCTGCCGCAGCACTCTTCCAAACGAAATTGCGACCTCCATACTCAAACCGTCGCGGCGACCAATCCTTTCTCTGCATCTCCCCATCCGGGATCTCGGTTATTGCGCCTATGTCAGGGATTGTCCGTGTGGTCATCCGGAAACTGCCTCCTTTGGTCTTCTGCAGTTTCACACTCGTCGCCCCAATCTGGGGTAAGAATTCCCCGGCACGTCGGAGTACCGTGTCGACGATGGGTGCTTCGTTGCTCCAGACGAATTGGAGGGCGTACAAGACGTGCGTGTTGGTCGAGTCTTTGACGAAAAACCAATATGAGCGCAGACCCAGGTTGACAAGCTCCGAGGAATGCGTAATCCGGTACGTGACCGGGGGCGCCGAGGGAGAAAGAGTCAGCGAGAAGAAGGGGCGTTGCGAGGTGTCGGTATTGAGGAATGGCTGAAGGTGGACTGGAGCTGTGCTGATATCCTTTGTAGATTGACTGGGATCATCTCCGCGGAAAGTATTAAGATCCTTGCGGATCTGGCAGATGACCGAAATCAGTGATCTAGACGAGGTGTGCGGGGTCCTGGACTGTGTGGTTTACCTGGGTCAACGACCAAGTCGTTCCGTCTTCGTTTTCCACCTCCTCCATCGCATCCAAAATCGTCGGAGGCAATATTATACCATCGAAACTGCCCTTGCGCTTTAGGTCTTCGAGATAGGCCAGGCGCTCTCGATGAACTTGGACCTGTCTCTCGAACATTTTTCTGTTGATTTTGAGGACATTTCCTTTCTTGTATATTTTGATTGCTGAATCCAAAACAGTGATGGCATTCTTGTAGACTTGTATGGCTTCATCGTACTCGCCCTTGCGTTCCAAAATGAAGGGCAAGGCGGCGAGCTTGTAGACCTTATTGTTGGCATCGATTTTTCCTGTCATTGCGTTGGTCGGAAAATAGTATATTGCTTTGAAAGATGGGTTCTATATCTGGTAGTAGTGATCAGTTGAGTTAGTAGACCTTTGCGTTCCCATGGCACTCCTTTATAGAGAATTGAACACATCGGAGCTTTTCTTTGTAGCTTATGCCAAGGTAGGAATATGCCTTGCCAAGGAGGTTCCATGTAAAATCGAGCCTATACAGGATATGTGTTCGTGTGGCAGTTGTCGCGGACGCCTGTACTCGAATCAGGGTGCAGCTTGGGCCTCCTTTGGAAGAAATAACTTGGCAGTTTGATAGAAATTGATCATCTGCAGTATCAGAGAGCCTTATGAACTTCAGTTGAGAGATGCATGGCCAATTCTTGGAGAAAAGGATACCAACTAATCGCTTAGTATTACCCTCTTTGAAGCTTGGCAATGGCTTAGCGGGGAAGCATTGGCTTTGGGGCACAAGGTAGGTAGACTATTTTCAAAAATTTATGTTTGCGAGGCTTCGGCCAAATCAAAACAGCGCGCATTGAATCAGTCAACGAAGGAATGGGTTCGGAGGATCTACTGAGGGAGCTACTATTTACGTTGACCCAAGAGCCATCTAGGGACGTGACTATGATAAAGTGATAAAGTACAAGGGCTTTGTTTACACTAGAAGACGCAGCAATAGCAATGGCCATCTGAAATCAATTTGGGAGTATCTTGACTCAACAAACCGCATATTTGTTATCTCGTGAGAATATGAAATAGGGAGAAGAAAGGACCTTATGATACAAGACCTTGTCTTTCGTAAATTACAGGAAACTGCTGTACATACGATTCCACTCTCCCCCTCTTTTCCATCTCGGGTGCCATACAGAACAAGATACTATTCCGTTCTTTCCTCACTAATAGTGCCAGTGCTGCGGCCACCACCTCTGTTTTCTCCACCAAGCTCAGTGCAAACGTCAATAATATTAAAATAGAACACGGAAACATCTGCTGAATCTTCCTGTCCAAGCTGTGACATGTGATTATAGTGCGGGGTCAAATTTATCCCACAAGATTCGGTCAGCCATTCTTCTCTGATTACTGACGCACAAGGTGTTTGCTTTATTGATCAATATTCGTGATAATAATTCTCAGAAACTATACTCCAAGATTCAAATGCAGACTACAGTCTTTGACAAAGCTTGTGCCATGGAGCTTCTAGAATGTGCGAACCCTTTTCTTGAGGAAAAGGGTCTTTGGGCACACTCATGGGCCAAATTGCCTAATCCTGCTTGCTCCGGTCCCCTCCTTCGAGTATGGGATAAAAACTCTGGCAGTCATCCAGATCAATCAAATAGAATGCTGGCTCGTTTGCCCCGACAGCGGTTGGGTTCGCGAGAAAGTCGAGAAAAGTCACTCGCGACCCATGCTGACTATCAGATATGGGAGCCAACGCCATTCATATCTTTTACTGCATCAGTATTAGGTCTGCAAAGATTCCTGGCCAAGAGAAAGGGGCCACGGTTCCCGCGAACACTTACGGTTATCAATCCAAACGTTCGCATCGCCAACGGTCTACCAATACTCGAAATGGAATCAGAACTAAGATATTACGAAGTGCAGGACCCATATGGCAAGGCGTATTCTTATTATAAAGATGAATATCTCTGTCTTTGGGAGGTTACGCCTGATGAGGTCGTAGCACACTGGGACTGGGACCTTATCGAGGACGTTCATTGGTACGAGGACAAAATATTACCTGCTTTCAAGGAGCACAACGATCGCTTCTTAAGCAGAAGTCAGATTGAGACGACCTTTGGTATGTCAACACTGCAAAGTGCTTTGCCCAACATGTTCTCTTTCTCAGTCAACAGAGACGAACTGTCTGGGTCAGACCTGGACCATTCTCCTAAATCAGACTCATTTCCAAATGAGAATTATAGTTTCTCAAGCGAGGAGGAGAATTGGCAGGTTGAAGATGACACTTATTGGGACACAGACGATGAAGTGGAGGAGTCCAACGCGATTGATGATTCATACAAGACCCTTGAAGGCGACTGGTGAAAACGATCCTTGCAGAACAAGGAACGGCGAAGGTTAAAGAAGGGTCGATTGATGTCTACCCTGGCCCTGAATGAAACCGCATGGAGCAACCCTGTGGTTCAAATACGAGATGTCAAAGGCTCACAGTATCACAAAAAAATATGACTTTTTCCCTGTGTCAATCATGGGGCATGAATTATGTTTCAGACATGCAAGTATCAATTTAACCCTACACTAAATCATAGATATTACCGGGCTCGCCTCAGTATTTCGAAAAGTTGCCCGCCACCGTCTAGCTTCTTCTCCAAGAACAGCTGCCAGAAGGCACTTGGGGTCCCGCTGTAGTAGCTATACACCACCATTACACGCTAGTGTATTATTTAAAAAAGCAAAAAATGGGTTGAGACAGAACTTTTGAAATTCCGTAGGTACTATGTACTGTAAAAGATCCCCACAATACTAATGTTCCTCAGGCCATCGACTCAAATGGAAAAGAAAAAGAAAAAGGGTCGGGGCAATTGAGGCCGGCTAGGCAGCCAGGCAGTCCAGCAAGGGACTAGCTTGGTGGAAATTGGCCCTGGAGCCCCGAGTCCACTTAGATAGGCATATCATGTGTTACTTGGAATATTTCAGCACTCTTTTTCTGTCTATGAAGTTCTAACGAGCGAAATATTTTTAGCCTAAGAGTACAGCCACATGGTAACCGCCAAACTACAAAGTACAGGAATTGGAAATTTTCGAGTCCCGGCCAGGCTTGCCCTGTCTGGACCCTTCCGAGCTATTTTGGTGGCCATTAAGGGGTCCAGGTGGCCGCACTAGCACCAAAGTGGAAAGAGAATATCTCTTAGTCGGCTAGAATAAAATGAATCGGCCAATGGGAAGGCTTCGTTTCAGTTATAGATTTCCAAGCTTTCCAAGGTTTCTGTCTAGATGCTTACTGCGGTGAAATAGAAATGGACTTATATATCTCCAAATCCATCTTCTTGTCTCCTTTTCACCTACAAATTCCATTTCTGTCGCTCGTTGACTACCCCGACATTCGTTAATTCGTTCATTCATTCATTCGTTATTCATTCAATACAACATGCGTCTCCAATCTCTCGCTCTTTTGGCCGGTGCCACTACCGCCCTCGCTGTCCAGACAACCTCTCTTTTCCTCCCCGGGTTCGACGAGCAACGAATTGATGGCAAGGTCATTGGCACTGTATGTGTAATCACCCTCTGTTAATTTAGCACAGCAAATTAATTGATATTTTCCAGAGCGGCTCCATGACCAAATATTATCTCAAGTGCGCCCCCGATGTTGACGCCAACGACTGCGGCCTTCCACTCGATGGTATGACCGTGGCCCAAGGCCCTTCAACCGTCAGCCTGGCATACAGCACAGAGGATGTGTAAGTAACTATCCGAACCACTTATACCCCCACACTCAGAGCTGATCCTTTCCCGAAACAGCACCATCAGCGAGAGCTGCAAGTTCGATTCCATAAGCGCGACGTGCGGCGCAACCGTCGTGACCGATGGCAGCACCTCCTCGTGGCACTCGGCCATCGCAATCAGCGAAATCCCCGGTGGCATGTACATGCCCGTGACTATCACTGCAACTGGAACTGACGGCTCTTCCGCCACCACTGGTGCTGCCGTCTCCGCTTCTACGGCCGCTTCGACTAGCGCTGCTACTTTGACTACCTCCGCTTCTACTTCTGATAGCACCGCTGCTGGAACTAGCACTGGAACTAGCACCGGAACGAGCACCGGAACGAGCACTGGCAGCAGTGCTGCTGCCACCAGCCAGACCGAGACTGGCAATGCTGCTATGCCTATGATTACTGGAAACGCGCGCTGGGCTGCCGGTGGTGTTGCTGCTGCATTGGCCCTCGCTGCTCTCTGATCGTCGGGTCGTTTTTTGGAATGAACTTGGATGCCCAGCCGTGACTCGGTTAATGCCTGTCTCGTTGATAAATATGTACCTTTCTCGTGTATAATATGCAATATACAAAGCGTGTAATACTTGGTACTTCGGTCTGTAGACCTAGTTTGAAACCTGTATTGTTGGCGGTCGAATATGTACTTCGTATTTACGCCACACAACGTGAAGTCTTGCAACATGTACAATGAGCGCCATCTAAAACCTCCTCTATATCGTCACTCTGCTTTACGGAGTGTAAGTTAAGACTTGCGGTGCATGACGCCAGCCGAAGCCTATAGAATAGTCAGAATATGCCTAAAACAAGATTTAACCGCAGAATAAGCTTACCTGGTGGCTGGGGAAGACCAGGGTGTCGGCGATCACAACGTTCTCACGACGACCAGCTGCAAATACAATAACCTCGGCGATGTCATCACCGGTCAATGGCTCGACACCCCTGCCAATTGTTAATTATATTCTGTTTTTAGTTCACTTGGCATGACTTACTTGTAGACAGCATCAGCCTTAGACTTGTCTCCATAGAATCGCACAACGGAGAACTCCTAATCACGATATTAGCTTCATATCAAAGGCGAATAATATATGCGATGCCCATACCGTCTCAACTTGACCAGGATCAATTTCAATAATACGGATTCTCGTGGCGACGAGCTCCTTTCTCAGGGCATCAGTGAAGGAGCGGACAGCCGCCTTGGTGGAGCAGTAGATGCTACCACCAGAGTAAGGCTCGCGGCCGGCGATACTGCCAATGTTGATAATGTCACCGCGGCCACCCTCAGAGCGCTTCTTGAAGATGGGTAGGATGGCCTGGGTCATGTTAATGAGACCGGTGACGTTGGTGTCAAACATGACCTTGATATCCTCAGCAGCAATTGAAGGTGCCTGGGCGACACCCTTGACCAAGCCACTTTTACCGTGAATGTCAGTATCGACCGTGGATATCAATCAGCTTAGCTTGGTGTGCATGACTCACGCATTGTTGACAAGGACGTCAATCTCCCTGAACTCCTCGGGCAGGGAGGAAACAAAGTTGCTCACTTCCTCCGGGTTGCTGACATCCAGCTTGACGGGAAGAACCTGGACACCATTGCCAACCTCCTTCGTGATCTCCGCCGCGACCTCCTTCAATGTGTCGATGCGGCGCGCGGTGAGGATCAACTTCAGGTTCTTGGGCGACGTGCGGGCGAACTCCTGGGCAGTGCTCTTTCCAATGCCAGACGAGGCGCCAGTAATGACGATAGTCTTGCCTTCGAGGCGCTTTGCCATTGCGGAAGCCATGGTGCGTCGGATAGAAGTTCGGAAGGTGGGGCTTGCGAAGAGAGCTGGGGATGTAGAGGGGCGTGAGAGTCGTTGAAAGAGTCCAATTGATCTGATGCACGCTCGTAGACGGGTCATGGATCGAAATCTCTATTTTTCAAAGGAGAAATGAAACGCAGAACCCAAAATAAATAGATTGATCACGAACGAGTGCGGGGACTCTGGCGTCATATTGTGTTATGTAATCCCATACAACGCCCGCCCGCGATCGGCAAGAAGGCCGATATTTCTTATCTCGGGATAATCGTGCCAAGCCCCCACTAGTTATGGGCCACGAATCGACTCCGTACAACATAGGAGTAATTCCACCCTTGCCGAAAATAGGAACCTACCGATGGATATTCCCGTATAGCTGGGTGAGGAATTGGGTAATTGTGCAGGGAGTAAGAAGCTAGCCTGGGGGTTGAGAAAAATCGAAGTGCTCTGTATGGAATATCTATACAAAAGATACACAATGACTCACGAACACAACAAAGTTGTTGTAGGGCACTTGACACGACTTTTCGGAGGCCATGTTGCCAATGGAGTTTGTCTCTGAATGCCTTATTATATTCTTGGTACTCCTTAGAGTGACTAAGATGGGAGACAAAGCCCTGTTGGAATTGTTCAAAGAGATAGTTTCTCTTTAAAGGAACATGCCCTAATTGGGATGGTCATCTTGAACCTGACAAAGGGCCAAGTGCACCATCATGATAATTAATGCAGGACTCGTTGTAGGTTGACAAAGATCAAATGAATGCCATTGTCTATATCTTCTTGGAGGACATCGATTCATAGTTCTAAAGACCAGGTACTGCCCCCAATACATCTAATAAATAGCCTTGATGATACCCAGAAGGGTACATACAGCAATCACAGTGTCGGTTCTTTTCCTCGAGTCCTTTTGTGATCTTTTTGTTCAGACAGAAAGAGCAAAGGGGCGTTCCTTCTATATCCAGCGCAGCAAAAACACCAGGGTAACCTACCACCTCTTCCTAGATACAACCTTGTTGACATTCTAACTTTTGCTTCATGTGCATATATCGAGTCTAGAATCACCGCACACCTCGATTGCAATTACCTGCATACTTTTACTGTGGAGATTGATTACAACAAATCTATCGGATATTACAAGATATTCCACCAGGATGCCTTCTCCAGCCAGGGTTTGCTATATGACTCCTCTGAACCTTGTGTCAAACTGTAATGGAAGCTTACATGAATCTTCTTCAACCCAGAAAGCTTCATCTGATGAGCTTCTTCGCCGGTGTGATTTTGATTGGGCCGAAGATGCTGAAGACGCTGCGACCAACGATAATTTACATATGCCCGCCACACCAAACCCTCTTGGTTACCCCCTGCCAAAGGCAAATCTCCACAATGAGATATATCCTACTACTCGCTATCTCAGATATCCCAATTATAAGCCATCACTCCCAACTGTCTATGAAGAGGTCTGGGATGAGACATGGGGCTGGGTAGATGGCACTCAACATATAACCTCCAGCTCTTCGGAGAGAATATTCACAGACTCCGACGATGATACTACCGATCTTTCAACGTACGAGGGATCTCCCATCAACGACGGGCTAACTCAGAATATGTTCACAGTCAACGGTGAACCAGACCTCCACTTGGCTGCACAACAGTCTATCAACAATGTCTTTGCGGACCGTCAAGCCTGGATGGATGCCGATGCAGAAATTCATCACTTCAACTGGATGGGACTAAGGGTTTACACACGCAGCTCGACCTCTCCGTCTGATTCGCTAGCCATTATCCTCGCAAAGCAAAAAAACCCACAGGGAGGTGCCACGTGGAGAGTTTACTCGGTTCTAAACCGAGCTACCCAGTACATTGACCCGGTACTTGTATTTCTGGATCACCAAGACGAAAGTTTGTTCCAACTCCGGGGCTCAGAGCTTGTACGTGCATCCACTGGACGTGTTTTCAAATTTTATTCGCCTCATGGAAGGTGGATGGAGGATTCGAGCGATGCAAATGACGATATTACGACAGACTTTGGTAATATCCGGACTTACGAAGCGACAGGGTTGGCCGTTGGAAATGGCTTCGTTGAGTCAAGTGTCATTCGCTCACTGTCACAATGGACTGAGTGCCGTGATGAAGCCTCTAATGTCCCTGGGAGATCGAGTCAGTTTCCCCGAAGGAGGACTTGGGAACGGAAACCCTCACCACTGCGACATTGCGAATCTATAAATGACCTAGAGTATTCAGAGGCCTCAAACTCACTGGCGTTCAAGCAGGCGAAGAGACCGCCTCGTAAGATCACAACTTGTGTGGCTGGGGCACCACGTGAAGAATATTTCTCCTTCCCGAGTCCTATCTTTGGTCGCTATAGGGCAATCAAAAAAGCATTCCAAAAGGTGCAGCGGGGCTGGAAATCGATGCTCAGATCAATCAAGCATACTCTGAGCTAGGTAGTTGTCCCTCTTCTCCTCGGTCTGATTAGCTTTGCATATAATCTCGATTGTTTGGATTTTGAACTCACATTTGGCAGGTTTCACTTCGCTCTCTGATTGCCGCCTCTTTTGGATGGATCAGATTGAGCTTACCCTTTTGATTTTCTCAGGATCAGCTTCCATTTGGCAATATTTTTGTGGATATTCTATTTTCTTTTGGAATCGCCATATGGCATCGATCTTTCAAATTTATTGTTGATAAAACCAAGAACCAAAAAAGAGCCGTGTCTCTTATGTTCAAATATTGTCTCTCTTTCATTTCCTTTATCTTGATTATCAGCTTGATTTAGGGCCACTTTCATATCTGGATGAGTCTATCATTCCTTCGTTTTATTTTCATTTGTGCGAGTTGTCAAGTGGTGATTAAGTGTCATTGCGGTGTCTATGTTGTACATCCTTATTAAAGAATTTATCAAGGCTTCCTTCAATATAAAGTAGTGGAATGCGTACATGTTTTGAAGTTTTAAATCTCATGAGCACAAGCGGCTGGGTATATATATTCTTCATGGATGGCTGGCAAGCAACGTTGCCGGCGGTGGTGGTCCAAAGAATATGTAATGGCGAATGACTACGTAGTGTCTTTATGAGAGAAAACAATCAGAGTGAATTCGGCTAGATGATGTCGGAGGAGAGAAGGAGAGGTGAAGATGGGAGCGGAGCGAGACTACCTAGACTATCCCACTTGCCGCCTTCCGGACACCCAACAATATCTGATGCAATCTGGTAGGCTCAACGCGGACTTGATTCATAAGTCTCCATTCTCACCCGCTTTCTGACAGAGGATCTATAGAAAGGTATGATAGACTCCGCTCGCATCTTTCAAGTCTTCCATCCACCTTCCATGTGGCGAGTAAAACTTGAAACAGGCTTGGATTCTGCACTGCACTCGACATGGCCAAAATTTTGTTGATATAGTGCTGGATGGCGTGATTTCGAATGTCATGCCTTGTTTTGTCCCACACTCAATGACGCTCTTGAACTCCGTTCCTCCGTCGAGGCGCCAAATCCCAGGGTATCTCCCGGTTCTAAGCTTGATCTTCTCGCAGAACGATTTTAGCTTAACGGATGCCTCGCCCGTATTGATCAGGGTTGGTCCTTCGAGGTAGCGGGTCGCATCGTCGAAGGAATTGTAGTCGGACTCGCAGACACTTCCTCGGGAGTGCCGTACCTCGTCGGCCCCTCGGAAGAAAACGAAGAAGACTCGTCCGACGAGTCAAGTACCTGACCACTGTGTTGTTGTCCTTTTTCCTCAAGCACCTTCATTCATCTGGGTCTTTGCTGTACCCGAATGCATAAATGCAAGTGATACCTCAGGTGTTCGTGCATAAACTGGCCAGCCGAGCCAGATCCAGTGGTGGGTTGTACCATCCTGGTTGCAAATTGCCGCTCGGTACTTGAATTCGTCGAGCTAGCACCGCGAGACCTTCACGAGCTGCAGAATCCGAGCTAATCTTGACAGTTGGACTGACTTCAAAGACCCAAGAGATATGAATGAGCGCTCGAAGCGTAGGAAGTATTGATTGTTGGATTAAAATAACAGTGCGATCCCTATGCTTCTTGTTGCACACTTGTCCAGGGCGCAGGCTGTTGCTGCGTGCCTAGATGCCCCCGAACACCCAGCTTCTTTGGCTGACTCCAGTACCCGACTGGATGTCAGGACTCGATAGAGTGTCTGACCCCGCTAGCAGGGGACGTATAGGTCCTCAGCGCGAACACCAACAACATGGTGAAGTGCGGATTTGTGATTCTCGATTTGTTCGTTGATAGTGCGGTCCAAGCTCGCACCCCCCGAGAGGAAAACATGATCACGATACATCTGCATTAGGTAAGACGCATATAGATTGTCCTATCGATTTTAGCCAGGATTAATCTCCTAGTCCCCTCAAAAGAAAAATAAATAGGCAGAGTGGGGAAGACATACCAGCCGAGTGATTGTGAAAAGCCATCCAAGTCCTAGCCAAGATGATTCCTAAAGGGAAGGAGTCGTTGGGCTTTGTGTGTGAATGAATATATATATGAGAATGAGATATAATAAACGATCACATAAGAAAAGAATATATATGGGTTTATAAATTATGGGGATATGAAAATAGAAAGAGAACCAAGGAGGCAGAGATCTGGCTGTCGTTATATCTAGGTCCTGACTTACGGGTGCCTTAGGCCGTCAATCATTATTCTGTGGATGAGGGAGCGAATGTCACGATCTACGATTAATCGCTATCATATGCTTCATATTTGCTTGCTTGCTTGCTTGCTTGCTTGCTTGCTCGTTTGCTCGCTCGCCTACTGTTTGCATTCCATAGATTGTTTGTTAGATAGCTAAGCGAGAAGGTTGGTTGTTTGCAACGTTTGCAAAGTGGTCAGCTATATCATTCCACTTTGCAACTTGCTTCTTCTTTCTTTCTCCATCCTATTTTTTAGTTGAATGCACTTCGTAGGGACCCCACACCCTTTCCCTTCGACGAGGACGCGCCCTGTGATGAGGGAAAAGGCGTGGCG